AGAGAGAGAGAGAGAGAGAGAGAGAGAGAGAGAGTATCATCACACAACATTAATCCTGGTAGCGAGTCCCACAGATATTCCAGGTATCATCAAAATGGATAACATAGTCCCGTCATGAGCAAAGAGAGTACTGTGGAGCTGAAACCCTCGGTTGTACAAGCTCACAGGACCAAAACACCATGATCAGCTCACACGACCTAATGACCGTGCATACATGACCATGGCCGAACACTGTTATAAGCAAACCAATAATGCTCTTTATTGTAATTATCGCCGCTGATCAAAGCGTAACGACATATAGAATGAAAAGAATCAGTAATATGATGCAACAAATTAGCTGCGCATGTTCTCCTGGATGGCTCGGTTCTGATGCTCACTACGGCCCATCGCGAAAACTCGTTCTCAGACCGTCTAGCGTGCTGCATAGCTTGTCGTTGTTCTTGTCAAGTGTCGATGTCAATGTTGCAACCAGTTGAGAAAACTCAGCATTTGCCTTCGCCCGATCATCGGACTGCAGCTTAGCAGCATCACGCACTGCAGCGGACATAGTCTCCCCATGACCCCCCACCATAACCCTTACCTCACCCATTGCACCCTCTCGAGCGCTCTTCCTCCGCCTGCCTGCCCCCAAGCGAGCATTCTCCGCCATGCTATCCGGATAACCTGCCTCGGCATGCCCGCTGCCAGATGCATTGCCAGATGCGCTGCCAGCCGATTGTGGGCCCACGGGCACACCATTGTCCAACAAGTTCTTGGGATTGGCCGACGGGTCATCATGGTAGTAGCTGTCCATGGCCTTGAAGACTGACTCCCTCAAGGCGATCCCAATCTTATTCTCTTCTCGTTCGGCGCAGGTCATATCGAAGAAGTTTTTTGAACCGGACACGTTGCGGTTGTGGAAAACAACGCGATTCTAGCGTGACTTTATTTGTTCCCACTTCCGCTTCGCTTCCGCCCCGCTCTTGTGAACACCCCTATCACCCAGCCGCTTTGAAACGACCTCCCACTTCTCTTTGTCGGGCTTGGATTTCTGAGCGATGCCCACAGAGTTCCGCACCATCTCCATATCAAACTCTGACTTCACATGCACGAGTGTGACACTCTCGTCCTCCGTCCACTTACCCCCGACCTTCACTGCCTTGTCGCCCCCACCCTTTGCTGCCGTGTCACCGCCACCCTTCGCTGCCTCGATGCCCCCACCCTTCACTGCCGCGTCACCTCTTTCGGAGTTTGCTGCAGCTCCCGGCGCAGTGACTTCACCCCCCGGCATGTTTGCTGCAGCCCTCGGTGCAGTCGCTTCCACTGCTTCATTGTCAGAGCTGGCCATCAGCATTGATAAGGTGTCCGCTGCCTTGGATGCAGCTGCTCGCTTTACACGCCCTCGTCCTCCAACACCTTTCCTTTTCCCCCCTACCACTGCAGCTGCTTCGCTGTCAGGCACGGGGGAACTCCCCGCTGCACCTGCAGCAGAATGGTCCGCCATCAGCTGTTGTGTACAGCTCGCTTGTCCGCGAGACGGCATGCACACTGCAGGCGGCGAGTTTGTGAAGGCAGTCACTGTTGACGATCCTTGTGACTGCTGGTTCGGTGAGCCGTTCAGTGGCGAGTTACCACATGCCGCAGGAGAAGTGTGATGAGCTGGTCCAACAGTTGGCATACCCCCCCAAGCTCTATGTGCGAAGCCGTGTGTTCCACCGACCAAACCTGCCATCACCTGGCGATGAATCACATCGACATCATGCACAGTCCCATTCCCCGTAGAGACAGTGCTGAAATCGCTAAATCCCACATGAGGATGGACAAGAGTCTGAGGATGAACATTGCCATCATGCAAGTTCACTGGAGTGTTCAAGTTTATGGGAGCCTGCAAGTTCATGGGAGCGCTTGCTACCCCCACGTGATGCGTAGGCTCCATGTGACGTGGTGGCTGGACCCCGTGTGATGCCTCCATGTGACGTGGTGGTTGGACGCCGTGTGCTGCCTCCATGTGATGCAAAGGCTCCATGTGACCAGGTGGCTGGACGCCGTGTGCTGCCTCCATGTGATGCGAAGGCTCCATGTGACGTGGTGGCTGGGCGCCGTGTGCTGCCTCCATGTGATGCGAAGGATCCATGTGGCGTGGTGGCTGGACGGCCTGGTGAATGCGCGGCATTCCATACTCCTGTGCCTCATCCAACACCGTCTCCAACGATTGATTACCCCACGCGCGGTGTCCCTGGGTTGCGCCATGCCCCCCTCCATGGAAGTGCCGACCTTCGTCGATCACATAGTCCCTCGCATACACACCCGCCCCCTCATCCCGCACTGGGTGAAGGTGTGGTGGCAGAAGCTGCACCGTCCCTCGAGGCACAGGCGATTCACAGTTCACCTCTCCCCTCATCCGTCCTGTCCCAAGCCCTAGCACCAACGACCGATCTGGAACATGACTGTTCCGAGCATCTTCGCAGCCTTCAACTCCGACGTCTTCGCAGCGCTGAACTCCCGTGCCGGACGCAGCAGCATTCCTCCAGAAAGCCATCTATCTCTTTTTGATCCTAGCCCCTATCACCAATGGTCGGACGAAGCGAGCGAAGAGCCAGCAAGCTGCAACTGAAACACAACTACCGAAACCAAGTGTAAGGCTGTCGCAGCATAAACGAAGAGGACGACAGGCCGAAGATCACCGCTTGCAGCGGAGATGCGTGTATGTGGGAGTGCTACACTGTGTGCTTATATGGATCCCCCCTCGGATGGTGAAGTCGCGAGAAACGTGCAGGTTGCGACGGCCGAAATTCCCATTGG